TGGAGAGCAGCTCTGCGGAGCAAGACCTGGGTGTCATGGTGGACGACAAGTTGACCATGAGGCAGCAGTGTGCCCTCGTGGCCAAGAAGGCCAATGGGATCCTGGGCTGCATTAAGAAGAGCATCTCTAGCAGGTCGAGGGAGGTGATCCTGCCCCTCTACTCAGTCCTGGTGAGGCCGCATCTGGAGTATTGTGTCCAGTTCTGGGCTCCACAGTACAAGAGGGATGTGGAGCTGCTGGAGAGAGTCCAGCGCAGGGCTACAAGGATGATCAGGGGCCTGGAACATCTGCCCTATGAGGAGAGGCTGAGGGGGCTGGGCCTGTTCAGCCTGGAGAAGAGAAGGCTGGGAGGGGATCTAATCAGTGTATATAAATACCTCAAGGGAGGGAGCGCAGAGGACAGTGCTGGTCTCTTTTCAGTGGTGGCCACTGATAGGGCTAGAGGAAATGGCCGGAAACTGAAACATCAAAAATTCCCTAGGAACTTAAGGAAAAATTTCTTAAGAGTGAGGGTGACAGAGCACTGGAACAGGCTGGCCAGAGAGGTTGTGGAGTCTCCTTCTCTGGAGATCTTCAAAACCCGCTTGGATGCAGTCCTGTGCCACGTGCTTTAGGTGTCCCTGCGTATGCAGGGGGGTTGGACTAGATGATCTCTAGAGGTCCCTTCCAACCCTAAGCATTCTATGATTCTATGATTCTATGATTCTATGATGATAAGCAGGGGAGAAGAAATGTTAGCTGTTCTGTGCTATCTTACAATTAAATGCAAATGCTTTTAACACTCACTACAGATTGAATAAAAGACACAAAATATAGCAATGCCAGCAGAAATTCCTCTGTATCTTCAGCCAAGGATCCATTAAAGTATCAATGAATGTTTCATATGTCTCATTTTAGTATCATTTGGGTTTTCATAAGTGGTAATTTTGGAGAATGAGGCCCAGCCCCTCATACGTACTTTGGTTTTACAGTGTCTTGGGTTACAGCAGCCCAACAGCAAGCTGGATAGATACCTCCAGCCTAACGCTGGCCAAAACGCTGCTCTGAAGTTAATTGCATCCATGCAGATTCTCCTTCAGCCATGTGTCCACTGTTCATTCGTCTTTCCTTCCTTCCTTCCTTCCTTCCTTCCTTCCCTTCCTCCCTCCTCTCTCTCTCTTTTCTTTTCTTCTCTTTTCTTTTCTTTTCTTTTCTTTTCTTTTCTTTTCTTTTCTTTTCTTTTCTTTTCTTTTCTTTTCTTTTCTTTTCTTTTCTTTTCTTTTCTTTTCTTTTCTTTTCTTTTCTTTTCTTTTCTTTTCTTTTCTTTTCTTTTCTTTTCTTTTCTTTTCTTTTCTTTTCTTTTCTTTTCTTTTCTTTTCTTTTCTTTTCTTTTCTTTTCTTTCGAAATCTACTCTCAGTTCACCAAGGTTGTCCCAAGCTGAGACTCAGGAGGACTGACCTCTGTACTCTGTGCACAACTAGAATCTTGGATTGTGGTAGAAGTCAAAGCTCAGTGGATGCAGAGGGTGATGAAGGCACCTGAAGAGCACCAGCAGGCACCAGGAACAGAATGAATGGCTCACACCTTCTGACATCCTTAAAAATGAACTAAGGCTGGATCCATGAAAGACCTTAAAAGAAAAAACACTTTGGATGAAGGTGCGTGGGGGTGCCCCAGGGCACAACTCAGCACTTTGCACCCAGCATTTAGCTCAGGTTAAAAGGAGAGGAGCAATGGGGAACTGTGGCTCCCGTGATGCACCGTCACTCACTGAACTGGCAGCTGGTCACACGCCGACAGAGCCTTCGCTTGCCACTGCAGACTCTGGTACTGCTGCAGGGACCATCTCCAGGTTAGGAGTTTGGCAGTCAAAATCACAAGTCTCCTGCCTGTAGCTCCAGCTTTTAGTTAGGCCAAATAACGTAAGCAAAAGGGCTTCTTGCATTTTCTGTTTTTAATAAAAAGTTTTTGTTCAGAGACATTTTGTCTTTTTTGGAAGAAAAGGCCAATCTATTCATCATGATTTAACCACTGTTTTTTACTTTGGAGTTTGTGCTTGTGAGAAATGAAAGAGTGGGTGAAGAGTATAATGTCACTCAACTCTTTTGATTTAGTTTGCTGTCACGGTACCAATTTTTTCTTTCAAAGTGTTTCAAATTCAATCTTGACAGAAGAGAAACAGCTCCATCTAGTGAAATCCTCTAAAACGCATCGCCTTTAACACATGCAATCTGAGCCCTTTCTTGAAGCTAAGGCTGGAAATATTGCAAGTGTCTCTGAGAAGAGTAACATGTGTCTGGACAGGTTTTCTTCCTTGGTGGTCTGCACGATTTGTGCATATGGTGAAATTACAGAGTAGTTAGAACCTAAAAAAAGGATCAGACCTTTCTGTGCACGAGAACAGAGTCTGTTGTTAGCACTAGGTAGGATAAAATGACAGGGGTTATCAGTCTTCGTGCTTCGGGATGTAAAATAATCACTGGCTGCAGGAGGCTGGCAGGAATTCGCTCTTCATCCAGCACTGTGTAATTAGGGAGCTGCATGCAGCCTGCTGTGCTGGCTACCGTGAGCAACCAGATACCTGACTATGATCTATGGCTGAGTGCTCTGTGCTGGGATAACAGTTACCATGTTCCTAAATAACAAAATGAATGATCAATGGGTATGTGGCATGTGCACGAATGCAAAGAGCTCTGGTATCCAGGATTTCTATTTCAAGGGATGGGCACAAGAGCAGTTGTAGGTGCTAAACCTCTCTTATTTTTGTGGACAGCTCTGGATCTGTGGGACACACAGCCCGCATTACCTTTTTGGCAGTGCTGCCCATCAAAGCCTAGAGGGCAATCACATTTGTAGGTGTCCTTTTTGGGAACACAGCTGCCTCCATTTGCACACAGGGAGCTCAGGCAGGGATGGGCAGCATTTTCTAAGTTGATTCCAAAAGTGAAATCCTCTTTCACATCTACTGTCCGGTCATTCAAGATAATCTGTGCATGTAAAACAAACAACAACAAAAGGGAAAAAAAAGAAGGGGAATAAAAATAGGTAAAAAACTTCCAAGATTGTAAGAACGTCATTTGGTGTTTCACTGCTAGTCAGAAGACTTCTCTAAATGACTTCCAAGGAAGGTAAACCTGGAAACTTGGCCTACAGTCTGTTTCTTATCAGGGTGTTTTCTAGGCACAGAGCTCCAGCATGTTCTGTTGTTCACTCCGATGAGGTGGAGATTAATTTCTTTTGTCCTTTGTGACATATATCTTGGCAACCCACATATGGACAGAAGCTGTGTGGGATTTACTGGTTTTGTGTTTGAACACTAGTACGCTGCTTTGTAGCTGAGCTGTGAGCTAATACTGTAAAAATTAGATGAGCTCTGCTAAGGAAAGTGTTTGTGATATCAGGAAACCCCCAAGGATACTAATGTTAACAAAAGAAATATTAGGCAGAACAGCTTTTTCACATTTCTACTGCCTTCAGGTATCTCCTATTACCTGAAACAAGCTAGTGCTATGAATTGGAGAAAAATATAATTACTTCACGAAACTGTTTGCACATAAACTGAAGAGAATTGTTAAATGCTGTTTTTTTCCAATGTGTCAGCAGCACATGTTCTCCAAGAAAAACAACACTTGTAGAATCTCAGATGATAACTCAGCAGTGAGATTATGCCGATGGGCATAGCTTCTTAGCTACATCAAAATAAGAAGTACATTTTCACAAACAAATAAATACATCTTAAGGCAACAAAAATGTGTTATTATAACACAGACAATGAAATTATGGATTCTGAAGAGAAGGGGCTGTATCAAGCCCAGGAATGCTTCTTGAAATCACATTAAACAGCATCAAACACACACTTTTGTCTTAAAGCTGGGCCAACAAAGAATCCTTTTAGCCACCCTGTAGCTTCTTCCTGACTTCCAGGTAAGTTGTTCCAGTGGCTAACTGTGTGTCTTATTTCTGGACTGAATTTATTTTCAGCTTCCAGCCATTGCTTCTCATCATGACTTTTTCTGCTTCATTGAAGAATATCTGCTCTAGGAAATGTCATTCTTATGGACAAATTAGCAGACCACAATCAGGGCACTTCTTAACTTCATCTGAATAAACTAAATCAAGATCAAGATCTTAGGTCTTTCTGTAAAACACATGCTCTCCAATACTTAGTGACTTTTGTGGCTTTATTTCTATATAGACCTCCAAAATTCTGCTCTTCCTTGATAGTCCACTCAGGCCTCTAGGGTTACAACCCCACCTTAACTATGTCAAAGCAGTAAGAAAGAGCTCACTGTCAGAATTTTGAAATCCTTTCAAGTGCCACTGTATTTTAGGACACAGCCCCTAACCTTGTAAGCATGACCTACAATCTTCGCTCCTGTGCAAAGATTGCTTTCTATATCTTGCTTTCTATTAAAATGACATGTTCGATCAAGCCCACCAGAGATGAGTTTGTGCAACTGACTTGTTCCCATCACTGTTTCATACTCCACCAGTTTACTTCATATTTTATGCTGGAAAACTGATAAAGATATTGGAAAAAGGTGGATCAAGCGATAAAACTATTTACACTGAAACACAATTATATTTCTGTCCCTGGCCAATTAATACGGGCTGCACTGCTATCTTTTTTATTTTTTTTTTTGCTAGTTAAATTTGATCCAATAATTTTCTTATTTTAAACTGAAGATTCAGAGCCAGGCTTTGAGTTTTATCTAAATTACTTTAAGTATGATTAATCTAAAGACACCAAATGCTAGTTCAACTAAAACTGTCTTTTGAGTACTTATTAGTAATATTTTATGAATTCAGGTGTCTCCAGATTTATTTTCCAGAATAAAACTGGAAAAGCAAACTGGACCATACTGGAAAACCATCTCTAACATCTGCTAGCAATGAAAGAGCTTCTCTGTTCAAATATGCCCCATACAAAAGCGTAAGTGGGGAAGGTAGTAAGGAGTGCAACTGTAGTTGGATATGATACATTAGCTAGCCTGGGATCCAAACTAATTTGCACTTTTTTTTTTGGCTCTTTATTCTCATGCTGACTGCATCTAAATGCGCATCATGCATTTAGATGCCTTGGTCTGCCTACCTTGCAGTTTCTGAGTATCAATTCTGTTCACTTTAATATGACTTTAAAGGGTATTCTGAGGCATCTATTGGTGACTTCACTTTATGCATCATTCTGACCTTTTCCCAGTACGGTTCTTGTTCACTTTCAGAGAGTGGGAATTTTCAGGGAGAATGGAAGTAGCAACACTTACTGGCTATTAAATCTAGAAGGACTCTTCACTGGGAGATATGTGCTTAAGCACTTTGTGGTAGGCTACTGGAGTGCAGAAGTGAATTCCAGGATTATCCTGAACACTGCCAGTACTGTAAGGCCAGGTTTTCACCTTAAGAGTGCACTGCAAGGGATATATGATGTGATGGAAAGAAATGCTTCGAGGATATTACTGTGGTCACTCACCTTCGGTATGCTCCCACTGAAAGGCCTCAGGATT